ATGGTGGTAGACACTAATGGCAAGTACGCATATGATTGAGAATTTGGGGGAGTTAATTCATCTAGAATATCTTATAATTTATGATAAACTTTGAATGCTTCAATTCCTTATATTCTAGGACAGAGAGTATTATATATATATATATAGATAGATAAATAGATTTATATGAGAAACCTATAAGAACGAAAATTTTGATATTTAATTTAATATTAGATATAGTTACGTAGAAAGATAGATTTATGATACAATCATTATATATATATATATATATATATATATATATATATATATATATATAGACCTATGATACGACGCAACCCGTGGTCCCTTTTCTATCTAGCGCTTGGTGCAATACTGCAATATGTTGATAACATATCTCTATCTATCCCTATTTATCTCTTTCATTATTTTATTGGTCATTTATGTAATAATTTAATAATAATGAAGCAAAAATACGAGACATACAAAATGTACATGTAGAGTACTGATAGAGAAGGATGAGGGAGAGATGAGGGACCGAGAGACGAAGCGTAGCGGGGAACGGACGGCGGGGGTGGGAGGCGAAGGAAGTTTATCTTTCATTTAATGTTATAATAACTATATATATATATGTGAGAGATTAAAAAAATAAATTTTTGTTCTTTAATTTTAGATATAGATATATAGATAGATGGATTTATGATACAATCACATTGCATAAAGATATAGCTATATATATAGATAGATAGATAGATAGATAGATAGATAGATAGGTTTATGACACAATCACATTGCCTGATCCCTTTCCTATCTAGCGCTTGGTGCAATATCTCTATCTATCCTAGTTCTTTTCTTTCATTATTTTATATTTATATCAAATTATAATAATACTAGCAAATATGTTCATACGATGCAAGGAAAGAAAAGAATATCAAAAGTCCATGAAAAATAGGAACGGGTAATGATACGCATCTATTTTAGATATGTACATAGATAGATTTAAGATACACTCACATTACATAAAAATATAAATATATAGATAGACAGATTTATGATATAATCACATTGCCTGATCTCTTTCCTATCTAGCGCTTGGTCCAGTATCTCGATAACATATCTATATCTATCCCTGTGTATCTCTTTTATTATTTTATTTGCATTAATTACACAATAATGATTCCATCCTAACGTCCAGACGGACACGTCTCCCCACTCGCTAAAAAGCGTCTTCGCTCCCTATAGTCCGCACCCTACCATAAAAATAAAATCCCCACACTACGCCTCTTGCCCGTCGCGCGCACCCGCCTCCACTGCACGGCCATGCTCGCCGCCGCTGCGCTCCACCACGGTGCCCCCATCGCGCACGCCCACCTCCACCGTGTGCCGTGCTGCTGCGCCCGTGTTCGCTGCAGCCGCGCTCCACCGTGCTGCCTGCTCGCCGTGGCCGCCTCCACCGATCTGGCGAGCCGCGGTTGCTCCAGCAAACAAGCGAGGGGTGAGCTTCTTGTGAAGCCATCCTGTCGGTGAGTTACCTGCACCGCTGGCGCACAATGAGCTCCATGTGTCGCCGTCGAGCTCCACAACGACAAGTCTCCATTGGTCCATGTAACAAGACGACATTGTGTTGAAAGCCCATGTTGCAAAGGTATGTTTCAAGTGTTTCAGATGTTTCATTTGGATGTTGCAAGTGTTTAATCTTTATGTTGTAAAAATAGATCGGTATGTTGCACATGTTGCAATGGCTATGCATGTATGTTTCAGGTGTATGTCCTGAATGCTTCATCTATTTTTTCAGATATATGTTTGTAAGTGTTTCATCCGGATGTTGCATATATTTTTGTAAGTGTTTTAGACGTATGTTCAAGTGTTTCAGTTATTTTCGTACGTATGTTGCAAGTGTTTTATCTGGATATTTCAAAAGTAGATCTGGTGTTGCTGCAAGTGTTTAATATGCATATTTTAAGTGTTTTATCTACCTTCAGACTTACGTTGCAAGTGTTGTATCTGGATGTTTCAAAAGTAGATAAGTTGTTTGCATCTCCCTCGCTTTTTTTGCCTCACATCAGTGTCTCTTTCTCCTCCGCCGCCTCCTCCCCCTATTTCTCAATGGTGGTGACGCTCGGGCCAACGCGGGCCCCGCGTGGGCACGTGAAACGCTGCGAAAATAACTTGCAGGCGCAGACGTCTGGACGTACAGTCTGTCCGAACGTCCGGGCGCTAATCGTACCCTTAATTACATTACATTATAATAATATATGTCTGGACACTTTGGTCATTCACAATAATTTAATCAATATAATAATTAAGTAAAAATGCGAGATATACAAACTCCAATTATCCACGGCCTCGTATACGTCTATAAATCCTGCCCTTTGTTGAGAGAAACCACATACACTAGGCAGTAGGCCCACCACCACAGCACGGCGCGCGGCATGGCTGCCGAGCTCACGCAGCGCTCCATCGTCTTCGTGCCGTTCCCAGCGCAGGGCCATGTCACCCCGATGATGCACCTGGCGCGCGCCATCGTGGACCGCGGACACGGCAACACCTCGGTCACCGTTGCCGTGCCCGACTTCATACACCGCCGCATGGGCCAGTTCTCCGCTGCCGGAGTCTCCCTCGTGTCCATACCCAGCGCCGTAGCGGACGACGGCAGCGACGAGCCCCCCGGACCCGCCAGCTTCCTGCACGCCATGCCATCCCAGCTGGAGGGCATGCTGACGGCGCGGCGCGGCGCCGTAGGAGGAGCCCGCCTCGTCTCGTGCCTGGTTGTCGATCTCGCGTCGTGGGCGATACCCGTGGCCGCGTGGTGCAGCCTGCCGGTCGTCGGCTTCTGGGTTGGGATGTTGGCGACATACCGTACCGTGGCGGTAATCCCGGAGCTTATTGGGAAGGGCTTCATCTCTGAATCCGGTATTCCTACATACTGCACGCGCATGGCAATGTCTTTCTTTTTTCATTCACTATTCCCCTTCAGTTCTCCTGTATTTTCACCTGTGCCATATCATGAAAACCACTATTTAAATTTATATGTGTCTCGCTGTATGGACAACCAAATGGTTTTGCTTTATTCAGTAGAAAAAAAAATCCTAATTTCAGCATTCTTCTCGTGAGAATAGTCATGCATGATACATGGCTTGTGCTTACAGACTGTCGTCCTTGCCCAAATGAAGGTAACCTACTGTCAGAAGACGGAACCATGAAACACAAGAACATTGGAGATCTCAACATACTGCCGGCAAAGTTAAAACTGAGATTCAAAGATCTTCCATGGCTCCTCGACAGCGCACTTCCTCAAAAATCAAGAATCGCCTTCTGGCTTCAGGCACTTGATCGTGCAAACAGCCTGCGCTCCATCCTCGTCAACTCCATCCCCAACAAAGGTGGCGACTCCTCTGATGACCAGCAGTATGATCTGCCGCAGGATCAGCATCAGATGCTCCACGTTGGGCCCTTATTGTTCAACGACGACGACTCAAAGAAGACGACCACCATGTGGCAGCCTGACAACACCTGCATGGATTGGTTAGACAAGCAGAGCCCTGGGTCAGTGATATATGTTTCGTTCGGGAGCTGGGCTGCACCGATCCAACCTGACAAGATAACTGGATTCGCGCGTGGTCTGGAAGGCGTCTGGCCGGCCATTCCTGTGGGCTCTCAAGAACCACCCGTCGTGGCGAGCTGGCCTCCCTGACAACTACATAGAGAAGGTTGCCGGCCGTGGCAAGATCGTCTCGTGGGCGCCGCAGGAAGACATTCTCAAGCATAGGGCCCTGGGCTGCTACATCATCCACTATGGCTGGAACTCGGTGCTGGAAGCTGTACGGCAAGGGCTTCGCGTGATATGCTACCCTGTCACTGCAGACCATTTCATCAACTGTGCCTACATTGTTAACATGTGGAATATTGGGATTGAGCTGGCCAGCAGTGACCAATGTGATGTGAAAGATTGCATTGAGAGGGTCATGGAAGGCAAGGAGGGAAAGCGTTTGCAGCAAAAGGTAAATGAGTTGCGGGAAACAATCACGGTTGGTGAGGCCATGGGTGTTGCCAAGAGGAACCTCAACTTATTCATGGGCAGAATCAATAACAATTATAGCCTAATAAAGGCATAAACAATATAGGGCAAGTAACACTGCCAAAATGATTATGATGGTCCGTCCCTATTCAAATAGTATCTCTTTTTCTTGAAGTCAATTTAGTTTTAAGTTGATAGTAATGCATGTTTTGCTTCCGATGTAATCCATTTGTGTCGTCCCCAAGAGACCCTTAACGTTGTGAAATGAATTGGAAAGACAGGGGGTGGGGTAACACAAATCAATGTTACCTTTTCTAGTTTTCTTCTGGTTGCGCTTATAATAATAATTTCTTTTGAACTGTTATAATAATAAAATGTTTCCTTCTAATGTTTTTAGCTCTCATTCCCTGAAATATTGATCAGTTCTTTTGTTCCTACTCAATGATCATCAAAACTCTATCTAGCTTTTCAGTAGTTGTGTGAGAGTTACTAGCTTTGCAAATCGACTCCCTAGAGATCAAGTCTCTGAAATTTCGTTTTCCTCGAATATTTTTTCTTTCTGGAACGGATGGCATTCACCTCTAATATAATTGGCATACGATACAAAATATATATATAATTGGAGTACACCACTTACCCCTCGTATTTTCTTCGAGTACGTAACTACATAAGTGGCAAAGCATAATATAATCAACTTCATCATCTTCTTCCCCTTCAGAATCTTATCTGAGATTGTTTTGTTGTGGTTCATGTCTCAAATTGAGCTAAAGATGGCATCGATCTGTGTATTTGAGCCCAAGTAAATCACAAGGTTTTTTTTTCAATATTTTTGGCAATTACTGAATCCAAGAATATTAAAATTGATTATCAAATTGCTTACAGAAAGTGTGGGTACTTCTAATAAATTTCTTGACGGCAAATATAATAATTTTGGGTTAAAAAAGAACCAACAGCCACAACACTGCAAAGTAGAAACTTGTCCATTAGGGCCTCTCTCAGAGTTTCACTTGCACGTTGCGACGAGGATCCTCCTGGGCGGCAACGACGGCCGGCGCGCGTGGAGCGTGGCGAGGTTGTCGAGGATGAGGATGTCGCCCCTGCGCCACCGGAACTGGATGCTCTCCTCCTCGATGATCTCTCCGATCCGCTGCACAAAGCTCGCCGGGATCTCGCTGCCGTCCGCCGCCGTGGCAGAGCTCACCTCCTTGCCGTGCATCCCCACAACCGTGTTGAACCACATCCTGCGGCCCCTGCGGCCCGGGAAGACCCGCGTCAGCGTGCGCGGCCCCAGGATCGTCTTGGCGCTGCCGTCCGGGAGCCATTCAAGGTCCATGCCCAGTGCTTTCGCTCTGCATACGACACATGTCAGTCAGTGTCATAGATTATTTTGTGCTGTCTGATTACTTATTGATCTTTTGTTCGCTTAGCTTAGACTGCTAGAAAAAATGTACACAATACTGGACCAATGCTAGCTCCTGGCTTCATCTCTTTGTTTCTTACGAAATGTACTCATGTTCGTTTTGCTCTTTGTGCACGTGGCAGCTCAATAACACACAATTTTGCAACACGTCAAACTTTGAGCGGAGGTTTCCAAGTGGATCGTTTATAGGTTCTGTATATAGGAGAAAACTGTTGCTATCTTTACCAAAAGTTCAATTACAGTGTCTGACAACTAACAGCATGTTCGCTTGCTCGTATGCAATCATGGATTATAATCTGGAATAGTATTTTTCTCTCACATCAAACCAGCCAGCAGTAAATAATCCACGATCGTTTACGACGAAACGAACAGGTTGTAACTACTCTCTCTGGCCAAAAACAAATGGTACGTGCTGTGAACAATACTGATGTCTTCGGGCATTTATTTTTCTCGATCACGCAAAAGGTTTGCGCGCCTTTATATTAGGATAGAAAAAAAGTTTAATATAATACATATTACCAACGCCCTAGAGGCAGCGGCGGACCCACCTCATGAGGTTAGAGGGGCTCTTTCTTCTTCTCCTACCTTCCATCCCGGGCTCTTCCTTCTTCTCCTACCTTCCATCCCTTACCTTCTTCATTCTTCCTAAAAAATCAAGGAGGGGCTAAGGGGGGCTCCATTGTCCGAGCGGCGGTAGGGGGGGCTTGAGCCCCGCCCGCCCCACCGCTAGATCCGCCGCTGCCTAGAGGGTCAGGAGAGTTGTACATGGACGCTCAGACCCCCTAGTGTACTTTACAAGTAGAGATATCAATTGAGAGATTAGTTTACTTTACAAGTACTTTCAAATATGGTTTCTTATAGTGGTTTTGTATTATGTTCAATGATATTTCGATGTTCGATGACGGGAGAGGGTACCTAATACTTAAGGCTGCGCATAACAATAGACTTTATAAACCTATCGATGCTTTTCCCAAGTGAGACGGGGCATCTAATCTTGAGGCACGGTGACTGAAAAAAAAGACAAAAAGAGCAGACGTGTTTAATGACCTGTTCTCTGCCTCGGGCTTGTCAGAGGTGCCAAAAGCGTCCTCCCACCCCCGCCCCCGCATGGATCTGTTGTCGTACTTGCTCAGCGCCGTGAGCGTGTACCGCAGCCCCTTGGCGTCCAGCTCCTCCACCATCTCCGGGAACTCCTAAAGCGCCCGCTCAGTGACCCGGAAGCTCGGCACGAACGGCGTCTCACCGCCCTCCGGCGGCGGTACCTCGCAGAACAGTATCACCTTCTCTGGAAACTCCTTGATCTGCACGCACATATATGGATCAGAAGTCACACGGATGGTAGCCATACGCCATACGCCATACGCCATACGCAGTTACGCACCAGCACCATCTCGTGATGGAAGTAGACGAACTGCTCGAGTGGTCCCTCGTTGGCGGTCCAGACGCGGCCGTGGACGTGGGTGCGCGGCGCCGGGCCGACGTACCGGATGTCCGGCCACCCCATGGCCTCCACGACGGCGTCGAACTCCATGGCGTCGCGGACGTCAAAGCCACGCAGCAGGACGGCGCTGCTGGCGATGACCTTGCCCTCCAGCCACTCCCTGCTGGCCCTCAGCGCGGCCACGAGAGCCTCGTGGTCTTTGTGCGTCGTCGCCGGGTTCGGGACCAGCGGCATTCGCTCGCCGTCGATGGTCTTCTGGCCCTCACACTCGCCAACGCGGAAGAAGTCGCCGTGCCGTGGTGGTGTTTGCGTGGTGGCGTCCGTGGCGAGCGCGTTGTTGATGGAGACCTTGGCTTGCAGCCACCCCCTGTTGGCTTCCAGGGCCGCCATGAGGGCCTCGTAGTCGTCATTGTTGTTGCCTCCGCTTTGTTTTATCGGCGTGGCATCTGTCGCCTTTTCATCCTTCGATTCGTCGTCGACGATGAACAGATCATCTTTTGAAGTGCCCTCCATGATGAAATGATGCCTAATTCCCTTTTTCTGCTATATATATGCTCTGGTTTATAGAAGATTGGGTATAGGATAGGAAGCTAGATAGATTTTCCTGTGGTTCAAACAGAATGAAAGAACATTGCCGGTATTTATAGACAGGAGAGTCAGGCACTGCGGAACTATTCTACTAGTACTCTCTGGTTTTTTTTAGTTGAGAAAGCGACATAATATGAAGTCATCTATCCTTTGTCAAAGAAAGATTGCTAGACGGATGAGATAACAAGGGTTGTGGTATATTATATAGGAAACCTCGTTGCGATTAGTTATAGGGCACGGCAACGCGCTGGACCGCTGGTATTTGCCAATTGTTGTATGGACAGTCAATTAAGAGCAAAATTCACCGCTGGTTCCTAAACTTACCGGCGGTGTCATCTAGGTCCCTGAACTTCTAATTTCTAAAGTAATATTTGTGGGTCCCTAAACTTGGCAAACGGTGTCATTCTGGTCCCTAAACTTTCAAGGTGATCACCGCATGTCCCTAAACTTTGCCGGCGTGCCCTCCTCCGCGACCGTGGTGGCCGGATCTGCCGCTGGTGGGCGGATCCGCGACCGTGGTGGCCGGATCTGCTGCTGGTGGGCGGATCCGCGACTGTGGTGGCCGGATCGGCGCCCATGGTGGCCGGATTCGCCGATGGCGGCCCTGGAAGCCAACAGGGGGTGGCTGCAAGCCAAGGTCTCCATCAACAACGCGCTCGCCACGGACGCCACCACGCAAACACCACCACGGCACGGCGACTTCTTCCGCGTCGGCGAGTGTGAGGGCCAGAAGACCATCGACGGCGAGCGAATGCCGCTGGTCCTGAACCCGGCGACGACGCACAAAGACCACGAGGCTCTCGTGGCCGCGCTGAGGGCCAGCAGGGAGTGGCTGGAGGGCAAGGTCATCGCCAGCAGCGCCGTCCTGCTGCGTGGCTTTGACGTCCGCGACGCCATGGAGTTCGACGCCGTCGTGGAGGCCATGGGGTGGCCGGACATTCGGTACGTCGGCCCAGCGGATCCGCCGAAGGTGCATCCAGATCGAGCAAAGGCGGCGGCGGATCGAGCAACCCCGGTAGCGGCGGATCGAGCAACCCGCCGACGGCGCATCTAGATCGAGCATGCCCCGGCGGGAGGCCCCAGCTTCGACACCGGCAGCTCGGGCGTGGTGGCGTGGCGGGCTTGGTGGCTGCGGGAGGCAGCTCGGTGGTGGCGGCGGGAGGCAGCTCGGCGGTGCCGTGGCGGCGGGAGGTAGCTCGGTGGTGGCGGTGGTGGGCGGCGGCCGGTGGTTCTTGCTTTTTTTTTATTTTTTTCGAAAAATATATTGCCGAGTGTTTTTTGAGCACAGTCTTTGCCGAGTGCCCGACAAAAAACACTCGGCAAAGAACGTTTGCCGATAAAATCTTTGCCGGGTGTCGGTTGTCGAGGGCAACACTCGGCAAAGAGTTTGCCAAGTGTTTTTAGGGCTTTGCCGAGTGCCCCGTATCCCGTAGTGTTGGCTGGCGGTGTCAACCCGGTCCGTGAACTTTCAAGCTGATCATCGCATATCCCTAAACTTAGCAAGCAGTGTCATACCTTGCAAATGTAATAATATTAAAAGTTTTCTCTACTAAAAGTTACTTCTAATTTTAGTATTATTTTAAAAGTTTAAATAGTAGTTATAGAAGTAACTTTTCTCTATTATTAATATTATAACATTATTATTAAAACTTTGAATACTATAATACTATTATTAAAAGTTCTTTTTTGCGATGCTATTATTAAAAGTTCTAATACTATAATACTACTATTAAAAGTATTATAGTATTATATTATTAATAAAAGAGAAAAGTTACTTCTATAATAATACTATTAAAACTTCTGAAATAATACTAAAATTAGAAGTAACTTTTAATGGAGAAAACTTCTAATACTATAAAATTTTTAATATTATTTTAATACAATTAATGATACATAAATATTAAATTAATTTTAGTATTTTTCTATTTTAGTTTAAACCTAATATATTTGTTGTTGTGAATTATTTTAATAATTTAATTTATTTTTTGCTGATGTAAATTATTTTATATAATTTATATTTTCATGATAAATATTATATAAATAGTGATTGATTAATTGACACATGTTGGATCCACGTCTAACGTATAGTTAGCGTGCTACGCCAGCTTATAAAGCAGGTTAGATCATATTTGAACAGGATTGATACCGTTTGCTAAGTTTAGGGACCTGCGATGATCACCTTGAAAATTCAGAGACTGGGATGACATCACCGTCCAAGTTTAGGGACCTGTGATGATCACCTTAAAAGTTAAGAGACCTGAATGGCACCGTCTACCAAATTGAGGGACTCACAGATATCACTTTAGAAGTTTAGGGACCTAAATGACAACGTCGACCAAGTTCAGAGAGGCGACGGTCAATTTTGCTCATCAATTAAGCACACACAATAGCAATATTGTTTGGATGACATACCTCGGGCGACCTAAACTACACTAGTGGATTATATTATATTTATGCACCCATCCAAAAAATTACCTGTCACACTCTGACACTCACACATATAAGCAGTACCTCTTTGTCTCAAAAAATGCCTCGCCCACGCAAATATAAGAGTAGCAAGGTTTTTAATTTGTTGTACATGATTTTTTTATAAATAGTTTTATTATTTGGTTGATTATGATTGTCGTCTCCCTATGTATCTATAGTTATAAAGTTTACTGTATCTATCGTTATAAATTTTACTCCGTCTATTCCAAATTATAAAACATTTTAGCTATTTTAGTGCATAGTTTTTGTTATGCATTTAGATATACACTGTGTCCAGACTCCAGAGTTAATTCGTTTGTGCCTAACACCAATGATCCCTTTGATGTCCTAATATGCTTCATAGATCAACTCTGCTTTCCTTTATTCATGGAAATTATCATCACTATGTGTTGGTCCATTTGGACTGTGCAAAATGATGTCATTTTCAAAAAACATTCAACATTCAGTGCAGCGTTACAAGACTATAATTCAAGAAAGAGTTTTTCTCGTTATTCTACGAGCAAAAGCAAAATTTTATCCTCATATTAATGTCTAGAAGCCTATATGAAATCCTCTTCATTTTCTTTGTAACCTTTTTTTGTTTCTTAAAATTTGTACTTAGTTCCTTTTGCTTTTAACTTTTAATATATTTCTAGTAAGGGGTCACACCCCTCCTATTTCTTAAAGAAAGTTATATCTAGATAAGCCATAATGTCTTATAATTTGAAACAGAGGGAGTATATATAGCTATTGTTGATCAATTCCTTAATTTAAAATTATTGTCATCTCCCTTTCTAGTCTTTTTCTCAATTTTGTAATTCCAAAAATATTGACAAAGCAAAATGACTATTTGTTTTCTACCATTTTTATTTGAATTTCTTCCCTTGACCTATTATTTTATTAAATATTATCCATTATAGTTTAGTTTATTTCGATATTGGAGATTATTAGAATGTACTTTCATCTAGTACACTTTGGTTAACGATGAACTTAATAGTAAAATTTTATTCATATATGTTTAATTTAATAATATACACTTTGAGTTGAATTGAGTAAATATCTGAATAGAAATCCGAATCTGAGACATCAATTTTGTATTCGTATTTGAAAATATCTGTAACCATGTTCGTATTCAAATTAAAATGTGATAAAAGGTGATATCCAGATTTGATTCAATGTGAATCGCATCCGTTTCCGTCCTATCCATGCCTGTAAAATATTTAGTAGGCGGTACACTTCCACCCCACGTGGCTTTCATGGTGGGGTCCCACGACGGTTCCTTTCGCTTCCTGCATTGGGGCAGGAGAAAGCAGAAAACAAAACAATTTGAGTCTGACGATGGCGCAATCGGCATCTTGCATTTTTGCTTGGACTTGAAGCAAAGTGTATTAAGGCAAGGGGGCAAATCAACACATATGCACTTGAAGCAAAGGATTGCTAGAGCAACACAACATTCTGTTGAGAAAGAAGAAACAAAATGCGGTGCAATGACATCTACTAGAGCAACTCGACAACGTACCAGTTCTGCCACGGCCAGTCTTCGCGGCTATGGTACGTGTACGCCCTGGAGGCGCCCAACGGCCGCAAGGTTGAGGCCATCTTCCTCTCGTCGGCCGTAATGTTCATGCTCGGCGTCATCCTCTTCGGCCACAGTCTCCTCGGCCGCGCCGCCCTCAACCCAACCGTCCGCAACTTCCCCTACGCGTCCCTCGCACTCTTCCTCCCGCTCATGTCCTACATGTTCTCCCAGCCTAAGGACGAGGCCACCAAGCTGCAGCAGGTGCCCGCCGGCCGCGGCCCGCAGCTGCCGTTCACCGCCCAGGTCATCCTCATCTGGATGCTCCTCGTTGAGCAGCTGCGCAAGAAGGTTGACGCCATCCTCACCGCCATGAGCTCGTCGCCGCTGCGTGCCGTCCACTAGCAGCAGACGCTGTGGGATGCCATCGACCAGATCGTCTGCATCGGGTGGATCGGATACCCTCATATACTCGTACGTGCACGGGTTTCGCGGAAGCCAGGATTCATCGTGGTCTGGCTGCTTAGGGTATAAATTAATTCACATAGAATAATATATAAGCGTATGGATATTATACCGAAGCAACACTTTATCGATAGTATCCAGTTTTATATCGAACTCGAGAAAATATGTGTAAGAATAACCAAATCTAACTTATCCCAATTTCACAATCAAACCTAGATAATAGGAACGTAGAGTAGACTGCTAAGGCCTTCTAGTTCTAACTTCGGTAAGTTTTATCTTCTATTGTTCAATTCTGGGGATATTACCAGAGAAAACACAGGCAGAATATGTTTTCCATAGCAACAAAGTCCTGCTAGACCTACTAACGGGAGGTGGACTACAAATGATTCAACGGGGCTATAAGAGTCATCCTCGCGAGCTATCACCGATCCAGAAAATATGGTACATCCACGAGTAACCGAGTCTAAGTACCACACTTACACTACGAATACTACTTTAATCCAGGAGCTATAAGGATTAAAGTACTCAAAAGAGAGTCGCAAACCTGAAGAACGATATGAATAATGTGCTTACTTGAATTAGAAGTCGATTACCAGAGAAATCTCAGAAGCAAGCTCAAGAAAAACTTGATTCCGCCAGGGTATAAGCTGTAGAGAGAGCACTGACAGGCCGGGACTCCTCCAACCTCTTCTCTTTCACTCCATCTCACTATCTCTAGTACAAGACTAAATCCTATCGATGACTAATCTTTTCTTAATTGCTAGCTATGATCCTGGTGAACATATGAATTGGGATTTCTGGTTTCTCAGTTCTCAGCATCAAATGAAGCATGCTCTAGAGGGGGGTGCAGGCAGGTATATATAGCCCCATTGAATCATCCTGAAATCTTGGATCAAACCGACTTGAATAAACGGTGTAGATACATACTAGGAGGCAACGGAGAATCAACGTAGCAACGGGGCTGACAGGTGGCACCCACAGGGGCCGAGCGGCCTGCAAGTGGGGCCAGCCAGCCCCACATGTCAGTGGCATGTGTCTCGGTTCGGTGGAGAGCCTCCTAGAGTCTTCTAGAGTCTTCCCACGTTGTTTACACGGCGGAATTCCATAATTTTCTTTGACGAATAGGTCCTTCTTATCGGTTTTTTGATTAAATCCTGCTAGAAACACAGATTCACCAAAACTAGTGGAATTTGTTAGTTTAAACTCCTAAGTCTATGTTGGTGATCCATTTTAGCCATTTATACAAGTTATATTGATGGTTTATGATGAATGTTAACTACTGTCAACAAACTCCTCTACACTTAGTCTTTTACTCGTCCTCGATAAAAGAATGGATTACTCAAGACATAACCTTAGGACAAGACATCAACATAAAACTATTTCCAGTCATGCATGTAATTCAGGATTCAAAGTGTCAACCATAAAACTTTGGACGGTTGAAGAATGGAACAACTTGAAATAGATCACCATCTTCCTTGAGTCAAATCAATTGGAGAAACAAAAAAAATTGAAAACAAAAACATAACTTACCTTCTCCTTTTTGTGGTACTCTCAAATCACTCTGTATATGTGGTATTTTTGGATCCTCACCAAGGCATTGATGACTT